TGACATCACCTACAAAAGCCAGATACCATTTACTCTGAGAAACTGCATATAATATAATAATATTATAAAATAATAACGGGAGTCGACGTGGCAGAGGGGCTAGAAGCTAGCCGCGTCATGGGTTTGCTCCCTTGAGGAGCCAGACTTTTTAAAAAAAATGACCTTGGCTCCCAGGTCGACCTAACCTTGAGTGGGTACCGGGTGCAGTCCCAGGAAGTAAAGGCGGCCGGCGTGATGCTGCCACATCACCCATCTTGTGCCAATTGATATATAAAATATAGGTCTAACCCTATACGCCTAAAGGGTCCTTTTTTAAAAAACTTTTTACAATAATAACATGTCCCAAAAAATGTATTTTTTATACTCCATAATATATACTTGTAATATATAATATTGTATAATTATATAATAATATAATAACATACTCCAATAGTCTCAAGAATGACAAAACAGGTTGAGAAACAATGAATAGGCAAAAATATAAGAACAAATAGCATGTAACTAAACAACAGAGATATAACAAGACACTATAAGTAAACATAGTAATCCTCTTTGACCTTTAACTAAACATTCAAAGACTGTAATGGAAGTTAAACAATCAATGATAAGCAGTGTTCTTCAAAAACATTAATATCAGTGTCAAACAAGGTTACTTTTTCAACAAAATAACACTAACACATGACAGGTGACATTTTTAGAGCTGCTGAGGCTTCTAAATGGGACAGAATGTCAAAAATGAGCAAAAATTTTAAAAAAATTGTTCACAAAAAATTAAGCATCAACACATATTACGCATTAACATATTTTAGAGACAACAAAAACAGCTATTTTGAGTTCTTTTAAGAAAAAGGCAGAATCAGCTGTTAATAAGGGCACACAAACTGTAATTAAGCATTAAAAAATGATCTAAACACACACAAAAAAAACACAAGAAGAACATACAATTTTTTTATAAACACTATTGATTCATGAAACCATGAGTTTTTCTGCCTACACCTTTTGTCTCAGGTACTACAGGATATTGCAACACTTTAATAAAACGCCTTGATAAAAAACAAAATCCATGATATAAAAAAAGACATACCGTAAATCTGGGAGAAGCATTTAGGCTTTTCTGCTACACCCAAGGGTAGTGAACCCGGGCCACAAGGAGAAAGTAACTGCAGCAAGGTTTGACAACTCACCGAGATTTATGAAAAGTCACCAAAAAAAGCACAGTCCTGCCTTTTGTCATGAGCACACACATCACGCTAGAGATCATGAGCCCTTCAACAGCAATGCTGTGTGAACAAACTCATTTAATAAAGACGAATTGTGTACTAACATACTTAATCATTTCCTTCAACACTAGCTTGAACCTACTCAGAACAAATGTCTATGTATGGAATGTGTGTGTGCATGTAATTCCATAAATGTATGAGTGTGTGTTTTCCATTTGTGCATTTATGTCTATGTATGTAGATGCATGTGTGTATGTATAATGTATGTCTGTATATGAGTTTGCATGTATGAGAACATAGGAGTATGTATACGTGTGTGTGTACGATTGTGTACACATGATGTGTGTTTGCATTATAATATAATTTATATTTCTTTATTAAATCCATAACATGCATTATTGATAACAGGTATTGGTACTCTGAAAAATGAGCACTTAAAAGGGCCGAATGTTAGACGGGCCTGCATGCCCAATTTGTAACCCTTTGAAAATAAAGTTTGTTCGTTCGTTCGTTCGTTCAGATATACTATGTGAAGACACAGAGTGAACATGTACTAACCTATGGAATGTGTAATGATTTCCTTCAGCAACAATGCTGTGTGACTGTTGGTCAGCAGAGCTGAGGTGTTTTCCTCCAAGTATTTGATCAGGGCGGGAGACACATGGGTTCTCAACTCCTTGGCTCTTACATCTTTATCCTTTTTACTGAAGATAAAGCAAAATATTAGACCTTTAGCAACACATACAGCTCTGACATAAAAGACTATTAGTATTCCTGTGTAGGTCCTGGGACCCCACTGTGGGGGGAGGGTGCTAAATAACCCGGCCAAATTCCAGAGAATTATTCAGTTTATTAGTTATTATTTGGTCCTCCCCCGTGTGGGTTCCGGGGCCCCATTGTAGGGGAAAACAAGAATAGACCCACTGCCTACCCAAAAGCATGTCGTAAGAGTCGACTAATTGGGGAGCTTCCTTTGAAAGTCGGAGTGCATCTGCCGGAGAGGCAAGGAACCAACAGTCTGTATTTAAGAGAATGAGATTTGTAAAACTGATGCACACGCAACACTCAGGTTCTGGAGCAGGACTGCAGTTCAGTAGTGGACGAACAACCAGAACTTTCCGCCAGAGTGTACAGCTGGTGAACGTGAAGAAGAAGAAAAAGATTATTTGGTCCTATTGAAATTTCCTGGCCCATCTACACACTTTCTCAGTCTGGTCCAGGTCAGAGGGGTGTCACGTTGTACTGTTTCCTTAGAAAAGAGACTCTCGTGGGACCTTGGCTGGGCCAAGTTCTACATGTTCTGGGGTTGTTAAAAACTCATCGTGTAGTATAGAACACGCGACATCGGCGCTGATGTAACTGAAGGCAAGACAACCTGACACTCCTCTAACGTAGAACAGTCTGAGAAAGTCTAAATGAAAGGTCAGTCAGTGTGCAGATGGGCCGGGAAACGTGAACAGGATCTATTATTAATTCCATTAGATGCCACAGTTTCAGTTTAAAATAAAATGTGCTATAAGCAGAACAAGTATAACAAGGCTGACAGCGCTAGGGTGAAATCACCTGGTAGGATTTGAATCTCCTTCATGCAGTATCTTCACAACATCTGGATGAAAGTGATGAGAATCTCTGGGACACAGCAGATACAACAAGACTTTCCTTCCATGCTGGTCCTGCACAACATCGTCCACAGATTTCAGCATTTCCTGAAAATGAAATGAATAATTTGAGAATTCATTTTGTGATGACACATTACATGACTGAAGCTTTGAATATCCCATTCAACCCATCTGGATCATTTACAGTTTTTTATTTTATTGCTGGATATTTACATTTGCCAATAACTTGTGTGATTTTTTCATCTTGAACTTTAAGAAACTCAGTCTCTGGCCAGCTCTCACACCTCGTGTACTTTCATATTCATTTCATGGAGCCTTTAAAATCCTGTGTTCATCTTCCTGTTAGTCGGCCCGGCCCCTCCTTTCTGGTACCATGCCCTCTATTATTTTTTTCTTCTCCAAATCTGCCATGGGGCTTGATATGACCAATATATTACAGCTTCCAAAATGAGATGCTGTTTATTAGCTAATCAGATCTTTTCAGGAATAGACCCCTTGCTCCCTTAATAAGCACATTGTAGAGGATGACTAATAAGGGCTTGCTGAAATTAAGCATGTTTGACCAAAAAGTGCAAATACTGCACTCTAGCTGTAAGCCACAACATAACTTGCCAACCACCCTCATAAAGGCAAACACAGAAGATGAAAAAGAATTACACCAAGTACCCAAATTAGAGTAATTAACTAATGTCAAATCATAAACACCATACAAAGTTGAAACAGGAGAACAGCTAAACTATTGCAAATAAATTCAAAAGCATTCACTAAATCTTTAGGTAGCGGAGGAGAGTTAGATAAATTCATGGTTGTTTTCTTGGATCGAAAGAGTTAAATATCATCTGGCAAAATCGAAGGACAAATGGCATCTCTGAATCACTCATGCGGAGCTTTGAGAAAGTTTGAAACAAATTAGTTATTCATCATCGTGTCAGGAAGTGTAAGCTGTCATGTTTCTCCATCTCACACAATCACCAGAATCATGGATCAGTTCAATGTTTTTGTCTCACCCTAACTATTTGGCCAGGACATCCAGGTATTTATCTCTTTGCCTTCATCTTGCTCTCTTTCCATCCATTTTTCCAGTTGTTGCCAGGTTCATGAGTTCATTATTCTCATAAAATGCCCACACACAAAAACGCTGACTTATTCAACAGGTGAACAAATTATGACTGTATTAGATATCCAATTGAGAAAAATCTTGAAAGAATATGTATGTCCTTGCAGTGAAACTCATAGGGCTAAGGAAATAATAAAGGTAAAGCACTCTTTTACAGCAGTGGCGCAAAGGAATCTAATCCTAAAATATTTGTATAAACCAATCAGCACAAAATGGAAAATGAGGTCAACACCAGGTCAGCCATCTTTGCTTCTCAGAACTTCGTCAACCCAGCATTACTGCTTTTGCATTATTTGTTCAAGTGGCTTATATGTATGCAGACTGTTGGTTCCTTGCCTATAAGGCAAATGCACTCCAACTTCAAAGGACATCCCTACTTAGTCAACTTTGATAACATGATTGGTAGGGAGGTGGTCAGCTTATTCTGGTTTTTCCCCATAATAGGGCCCAGATTCATATGGGGATGATGCAGATTTGAATTCAAGACCTTAGGTTGGCAGGCGAGCACCTCGCCATGGCGTGATCATGGCTCTCAATGAAAATAATAAAAAAAACCAGAAGAAAGAGCATTTAGAAACAGATAAGAAGAGAATGTAGAATGACAGCAAAGAATAGGAAGATTTGGCAGCAGGTCTATGCTCCAGTGAGAAATAAAGGGGCGAAAAAAGAAAACACTTTGGTGTTTTATTGACGTTCTGGCAAACATATTTTCTGGTTTAGAAAACGTTAAAAGTTTAAAAAATGATACCAACTTACATCTAAAATAACCTTTTGTACAAGCACAGTGTCATCAACACTATCAAAGATGGACAGAAGGAAGAAATGTCCATGTTCCTCCTTGCAGATCTTCAGCACATGCGACTTCAAGCTCTTCACCATGATCTTCCTGTCCTTGACCGAACCCGACCAGACACAGTTCATGGCCACCCTGGTGCCGTCTCTCGTGTGCAGAAGACTTGGGATGTGTTCTCGCAGACTTTCAATCATTTCCTGAAATAAAAGTTACTTCCTTTTACAGGCGGTCCTACATTACAGTGTCACAACATGGTCCTACATTACAGTGTCACAACATGGTCCTACATTACAGTGTCACAACACGGTCCTACATTACAGTGTCACAACACGGTCCTACATTACAGTGTCCCAACACGGTCCTACATTACAGTGTCACAACATGGTCCTACATTACAGTGTCACAACATGGTCCTACATTACAGTGTCACAACATGGTCCTACATTACAGTGTCACAACATGGTCCACGGTCCTACATTACAGTGTCACAACATGGTCCTACATTACAGTGTCACAACATGGTCCTACATTACAGTGTCACAACATGGTCCTACATTACAGTGTCACAACATGGTCCTACATTACAGTGTCACAACATGGTCCTACATTACAGTGTCCAACATTACATTACAGTGTCACAACATGGTCCTACATTACAGTGTCACAACATGGTCCTACATTACAGTGTCACAACATGGTCCTACATTACAGTGTCACAACACGGTCCTACATTACAGTGTCACAACATGGTCCTACATTACAGTGTCACAACATGGTCCTACATTACAGTGTCACAACACGGTCCTACATTAGAGTGTCACAACATGGTCCTACATTACAGTGTCACAACATGGTCCTACATTACAGTGTCACAACATGGTCCTACATTACAGTGTCACAACATGGTCCTACATTACAGTGTCACAACATGGTCCTACATTAGAGTGTCACAACACAGTTATACACTATAGTGTAACAACACAGTCCTACATTACAGTGTCACAACATGGTCCTACATTAGAGTGTCACAACACAGTTATACACTATAGTGTAACAACACTATAGTGTAACAACAGTCCTACATTACAGTGTCACAACATGGTCCTACATTAGAGTGTCACAACACAGTTATACACTATAGTGTAACAACACGGTCCTACATTAGAGTGTCACAACATGGTCCTACATTACAGTGTCACAACACACAGTTATACACATAGTCTCCTACACACACAGTTATACAGTGTCACAACACAGTCCTACATTACAGTGTCACAACATGGTCCTACACAACATTACAGTGTCACAACATGGTCCTACATTAGAGTGTCACAACACAGTTATACACTATAGTGTACAACACAGTCCTACATTACAGTGTCACAACACAGTCCTACATTACAGTGTCACAACACGGTCCTACATTACAGTGTCACAACATGGTCCTACATTAGAGTGTCACAACACAGTTATACACTATAGTGTAACAACACAGTCCTACATTACAGTGTCACAACATGGTCCTACATTACAGTGTCACAACATTGTCCTACATTACAGTGTCACAATATGGTCCTACATTACAGTGTCACAACATGGTCCTACATTACAGTGTCACAACATGGTCCTACATTACAGTGTCCCAACACGGTCCTACATTAGAGTGTCACAACATGGTCCTACATTACAGTGTCACAACAAATACAGGTAATTACAACAACAAAAATGAATCAAATAATATATGAAATCAATTACTATAAGTAATAGTAAGTTTTTTAACCTTTTCCGTGCCTTTAGGCACACAGTGCTAGACCTGTTTTATAAACAATTGGCAAGTGATGTGGTCAATATCATGACAGCCGCTTTTACTTCCCAGGACTCTACCTGATATCTATTCAAGGCTGGGTTGATCTAAGTCAAGATCCGCTTAAAAAAAAAATGTCCAGTTATCAATTTTTAAACTAACAATTAAACCAGTTAAGGAAGATAAGTAAGGGATCTTTTCCCCTGCCCTCAGTGTATTGAGTATATACGGATACACCTATATTTTATAGACCAGCTAGCCCTCGGTAGATGATGCGGTCAGCATCACACTGGCCTCCTTTACTTCCTAGGACTTTACCTTTTTAAACTTTTGCCCATTTTTGGCTGGGCTGACCTGGGTGTCAAGTTCATTTCCTTAAAAAAAAAAAAACCGACTAGATACAGATTTGAACCCATGGCCTTCGGGCCTGCATGCAAGTATTTAGCTGCAATGGCGGCTCCCAATTAACCAGTACCTACTTTAAAATATTTACCTTTAATATCAAATCATGAAAAGGGGGAGGGTGTGTGTGTGTGGATATATACTAATCAACTATAAAAATTCATTTAACTGGTGCTTACAGTAACAAAAAATGACAGAAACAGTATGACAAAATCATAAATGCAGTCCTCAAAAAGAAAATTGTCTAGAGAGCCAAAAGATTAGAAAAAGACAATGGTCACAAGATAGGATACACACTGAGAAATTGTGTTACTATAACTAAAATATCACCACAATGCAATCTACACAGGGATGACCCCTGGAGAAATGTGGATGCAGGAATATATAGAGCTAGCACATATGTTGGAATGGAGGTAGCACATATTTTGGAATGGAG